GGGGGGGAGTTCCAGAAAAAACAACAAACAGCAAAACTAGGAGCTGAGGTGGGAAGTGTAACCCTTGCTGCTCAGTCCTGGGGGATCAGCTTCCTGCTGGTGTCACCCCCGGGGCACGTCCCAGCCTTCCCAGGGGATGGGGGTGGCACTGACACCATCATCCCTTGCTCCTGAGGGCAAGGATAGGGTTCCAGCTCTCCCATCCACTTGGCATCAGGCCTTCCAGTCCCTCCGTGGGGGTCGCTGGGGTGAAGGGCCCCCCCAGCCTGGCACCACCTGCAAAGAGAGACCCAGCCCTCAGCACATCATGGGGGGCCAGCCCGACCCCCCCACTGCCAAAGCAACAACCCCCCAGTGGCATCAGGGTGGGTGGAGAAACCTCAGCCTCACAACCCTCCCAAAAACCTCTGGATTAGACCTAAAACCTTGCCCAGGAGTGTGGGGCTCCCTGAGGGCAGGTTGGGACCCTGGGCTCCCACCCAGGCTCAGCCAGCCTGGTGAGCTCCCCAGCTTGGTGCTGCTTCATCATTTTTCATGTCAAAAACCAGCAAAATGGCAATTTATGCACAAATTCCTCATTTATTTTACTCAGTCACACTTGCCAGCCATGGCTGGAAACGACCCACGGAGGAGCCACTTGTCCCAAACCTGTCCCAAACCTGCCCCCAGAACCTGAGCTCTCATCCCCAGAACTTCAGCTTCTACCTTCAAAACCTGAGCTCTCACCCCCAAAACTTGAGCTCCTGTCCCTAAAATCTGAGCTCTCACCCCCCAAACCTGAGCTTCTGTCCCCAAAACCTGAGCTTCTGTCCCCCAAACTTCAGCTTCTACCTTCAAAACCTGAGCTCTCATCCCAAAAACTTGAGCTCCTGTCCCCAAAACCTGAGCTCTCATCCCCAAAACCTGAGCTCTCACCCCCAAAGCCTGAGCTTGTCCCCAGAACCTGAGCACTCACCCCCAAAACTTGAGCTCCTGTCCCCAAATCCTGACCTCTCACCATCAAAACTTGACCTCCTACCCTCAAAACCTGAGCTTCTGTCCCCAGAACCTGAACTTCTACTCTCAAAACTTGACCTTCTGTCCCCAAAACTTGACCTCCTACCCTCAAAACCTGAGCTTCTGTCCCCAAAACCTGAGCTTCTGTCCCCAAAACCTGAGCTTCTGTCCCCAAAACCTGAGCTTCTGTCCCCAAAACCTGAGCTCTCACC